AAACTATATTTGATGACCATTTTTTTCACTATACACATTCCAAAATCTGTTAAATCTTGACAAAATTAATTTTTTTATGCACAATAATCAAAAATAAAGTTGACCTGTTCCGGCATTTTCAAAAAAAAAATCCCTTGAGGGGGTAAGCTACCCCTAACATTTATACTATTATATTTCATTATTCCATTACAATATCATGGTGTAAATCTCTTGGATACTATCAAAATTGTTACGTAGTTGATGTAGTTTGAAATTTTCTGAAATCAGCCCTTACAAATGAATTCATCCCTAAAACTCAATCTCAAGTATTATTTTTTCATTACTTGAAAATACCCTAGGACTATTCAGTGGCGTAAAACGTGTAATAATATTAGTTCACATCCTTGGTATTGAATTAGAATTCTTCACCCCACTAATGTATCAACCCCTATTTTTCAATAAAAAAATGACACCCTTTTCCATATGAAAATACTAGTTTCTTGAGTTTGACGAAAAAAATTTTGGCAGTATGCACAATATTCAAATACGAAATCGACTGTTCTCACCTTAATAAAAATAACCTATAATAAGGGGTGTACCAGCCCCACAGGAGATATTGTCGTATCTCTATGATTTTATTCTTTTTCCATGGGACTTTCAAAAGTAATAAAAAATTAATGATTCAAAGTACAAAAAAATTTTTAATTTAATATTTCAATAGTTTTGAGTTTTAATGTTACTTTTTATAATCCTGGCAATAATGATAATCATTAAAAAAATGTTTCAAGCATAATGATTTCTTACACCAAGAGCATCTTACAATTGCTGAGTTAGAGCAACCAGGAACTTCACAACGCTCATTACAATCATTACCAAAACTAAAATCTACGGGGTTATCAAACTTATCTGACTTTGATTCAACGTAGCCACTTTTATACCATGAATATTTGAATAGGTTATTGTATCGAGGAGATGACAATTGATTATGTACCAAGGATTGGAGTTTTATAATGTTATTTCTTTTATGAAGTTCTATATCCTCATTCATTAATGTTACACTGTCCTCGAAGCGACGGACGTAATTTTTCCACACTCGGAAGCCGAAAGCATCTAGTGGCTGAATTTTGCCTGTTGTTCCTTTTGGAATTATTTTTACATCAACAATTTTGTTTGGAGGTGCTACTTCCTTTACAGCATAAGGGCAATGCCCACTCCACGAATCAATTAATAAGACACTTGAATGCCCAACATTGGGAAAATACACATCCTTCAGCCATGTTTTGAAATGTTCTGTAACCATTGAAAAAACTCATTTTTATTCACATGACATAAGTTAAAAACTGTAATCACCAATAATAAATATCATACCTGAAGTCAGTTTGCCAGAAGCGGAAGGCATCACGTAAATATTTGATGGCTTGAATAATTTGGATTCTACTACCTGTTCAAAGGTTCCTTTACTTTCTTTTAAAACAATGAATAATGGGGAAAGCAGTCTCCTATCACCTGAAATGAGTGGTTGAATTGTGTAACTGTGAGTCGTCGAACTTACAGATTCTACAAGACATTCAATTTGCTTTTCGCCTTCAATAGCTAGTGTTCTTCCCGAGTGCATTTAAATTTGAAATCCACTCTGATCTGAATTGTAAATTGATTCCAAACCTTTGCTTTTAATTATTTTTTTCACATCTGAAACAAAATCATTAGCTGTTTTTTGTAAATATTCTCTCCCTTCAACAGTCTTTTTTGTTACGAATTTATTTATCTTTCTGCTGACTATTCTGTGAGCCTTTTTAAAATTTTGTAGCCAATGACGTGACGCTTTAAACCTTATATCTTCATGTCCAACGATTTTCTGAGCTTGTAATGCCCATTTTTGTAAATCTCTATCGTGAATTATATAACCGACATCGGAAGCCGACTGAAAATTATCTAATACAAATTTATTGATTCTTCCAATTTTTTCTTTATAAGTGCCTCCTTTATTCAAAGTATGCGCCCATAGTTTCAACTGTGTAATTGATTGGACTTTTCGAAATCTATGCTGCACAGTTTGCAGAGCGAGATTTTTCGTAACTCCGCTTCTCCAATAGTCCACAGCTTTTCGTTTGTAATCCCAAGATAGATCTTCTGTATCCGCTGTACATACTAGTGAGTGTTCATCAACATCCGCTGACCAGATTTTATCAATATCTTCAACAATATGCATTTCAGTATCCTTAAATGGTTCTTGAAAAGCTAATGTAGATTCCACAATGAATTCTGGATTCTCAAAGTTATTTATACAATCAAGTAATAGTTTTTCTATATTATCCTTCAAAGCAATTTCATCTTTAGTAATGGGACTTTCTTGTATATTCATAGCTTGAAAAGATAATAATAATAATTGTATAACATTTATAGGATTAATAGTCATTTTTCCAATACCTAGAAATAATAATTATTATTTGTTTTTTATATGATGAAATCCGAAGCGCATTAATTTGAATATTTTTTTACAAAGTCAGGCAATAATTTTTAATATCATTTAAATCAACATTACACTGACAATTACGTATCAATTTCATTTCTAATTTCTTCGAACGATAATTGAATATTGAAAATTCCAAAATTTCTTGTCCATCTTTGATCCCTCACCAATTCTGGAAAAAGACCACATAAAAATATGAAGTATTGCATTTTATAACTCTTTATAAGCTATATCTTAATCACTAATTAAAAAATTATTTTCGTCAAATACGATGTGAGTATGAAAATTTTTGAGCTTTTTTCTTCGGAAAAATATTTAATTCAAAAATGTAGAGTAAAAAAAATGATGAAAATAATTTTTTATGGTTTCTTTAGATAGGGCTTGTAAAGAGCTGTAAAATAGAGTACTTTCAATTTCTGTGCGTTTTTTGAAAAATGGCGAGGGCATGTATACAATATCTATCAATTACCGCGTTAAGAAATTTTACGCAAAAGGAAATTTTACTTACAATCAGGAAATAAGTATTGACCAAAAATTATATGGTAGAATTAATATGTACGAATTCCAAAATACTATGTTATACTTTGATGAAATTTGAAGTTTCAAAATTTGGTTGCACATTTATTGGATTCCAATGTAATTTCTTGTAAATTCAACAAACACTGCACTCACAATTAATATACTGATTCAAACGAGCTCGATGAAGCTCTGACTAAAGACTGATGATGAGAGGTAATATCGAGTATTCGAGTGTTGTTTTGGCGAGCTGATTGTGAGTTCAAGAGTGTGATCGCATCGTCGAAAAAGGTCTTATCTATCCAAAACATAGCAAGACGATAATTTAACCGTTGAGGTTTTTCCCACCGTCCGATCTCGACAACAACAACAAGAAAATGATAAATTTAATCTTATCTTGTTATTTTAAGCTGTTCACTTCTCTTAATTTGTTTTCCAAGCGTTTATACGTTTATTCTTCGTATGCATTTATTCGATAATTAGTTAGTTCTTCTTGCTTTGAATCATTAATTTTTTATTACTTTTGAAAGTCCCATAGAAAAAGAATAAAATCATAGAGATACGACAATATCTCCTGTGGGGCTGGTACACCCCTTATTATAGGTTATTTTTATTAAGGTGAGAACAGTCGATTTCTTATTTGAATATTGTGCATACTGCCAAAATTTTTTTCGTCAAACTCAAGAAACTAGTATTTTCATATGGAAAAGGGTGTCATTTTTTTATTGAAAAATAGGGGTTGATACATTAGTGGGGTGAAGAATTCTAATTCAATACAAAGGATGTGAACTAATATTATTACACGTTTTACGCCACTGAATAGTCCTAGGGTATTTTCAAGTAATGAAAAAATAATACTTGAGATTGAGTTTTAGGGATGAATTCATTTGTAAGGGCTGATTTCAGAAAATTTCAAACTACATCAACTACGTAACAATTTTGATAGTATCCAAGAGATTTACACCATGATATTGTAATGGAATAATGAAATATAATAGTATAAATGTTAGGGGTAGCTCACCCCCTCAAGGGATTTTTTTTTTTGAAAATGCCGGAACAGGTCAACTTTATTTTTGATTATTGTGCATAAAAAAATTAATTTTGTCAAGATTTAACAGATTTTGGAATGTGTATAGTGAAAAAAATGGTCATCAAATATAGTTTTTCATTAATAAAAAACGGGGGTTACGAGTCTGATGACTAAAAACAATGCATAAATATGTGCTTTTCAATAACAAGTGTTACCCACTTTGTTTCAGTATTTATTTTATATATAATAAAATTATTAATAAGATCATTAATTTACAATTCTAAAGAAACTAAAAAATTTAACTTGATATCATATAAAAATTATGTTTACTAACATAAGTATAAGTTATTAGCAAATATTCATTCCATTAAGAACATTTAAACTCTATTTTTATTAAATTTCAACATTTTATAAGCATTAAAAATAAAAAAGTTGAATTGTAAATGTGTTTTCTAGCGAATTTAAAATGCTGATTGTGGATTTTCATAATTCCGGTGGTGGGGAGAAATTCGCATACTCATCATATAAATAGGCTCGCTTAAACCGTAAGAAACAACATTCTTAATCTAATCTTGCACGTAGCCCGGATAATGAATCGACTTTAATAAATGGTCGGAGTTCTCTTCGATCTTTATTTAAATTTCGTTTAATTTCTTGCTTAGCGAATTACCTCCTATCTACGAGGGTAGATTGATAAGTTTCCGGCCTGACCAAGAAAAACAACGTTTTTAAGAATTTTTTTTTCTATTTCTCAACATAATCTCCTCCAAGGCTGATACATTTCTCATAGCGGTGTTCTAGTCTAGTAATGCCATCTCTATAGACTAATTCGTCAAGCTCCTCAAAATACCCATTTATAGCTTCGATTACTTCTTTTTTGTCCCTAAATCTCTTAGCGCCAAGTCATTTTTTGAGATTAGGAAACAGATAATAGTCAGTCGGGGCTAGGTCTGGAGAGTAGGGAGGGTGCGGCATCAATTCAAACTTGACACGGTGGAGGACGCTATGCTGAGGATTCCTGGCTACTCGCTCGTGAGATTGGATCGCTGTAAGGTTCGGAGTGGCAAATCTAGGGGAGGTGGTATCCTCGTTTGGATTGAGAGCGCATGCTCCTTTGTAACAGTACATACCCTCAATTATGATCTGGAGCATGTGACTCTGAAGCTTGACTATGGTGCACCGCTACTTCTCTCCGTTGCTTATCTACCGCCAGTTACGTCTCTCTCACCAGTGATATTCGAGTCATCTTTGGATTCCTTTTGCTGTTCTCTGGAGGATTCAGCTGCCAGATATCCTGAGTGTGCTGTTCTAATTGTGGGTGACTTCAACCTTCCCCGCTTCATGTGGTCGGCTTGTGATGGTGTGCTTTCATCTGATGCACTGGCAAGTAGGATTATTCGTGATTCGGCATCTAGATTAGAGAGTTGTACGAGCTCTCTTAAGTGCGCTCAGTTGATTCGTTCGTCAAATTGCTCTGGAAATACGCTTGATCTGGCATTTTGTAGTATTCCGGCGTCTCTCTGCACGGCTTTGGATCCTCTGGCACCATCGGACAGACATCACGAACCTGTCATTATTAATTTGAACTGTGTTGCAGTGGCTTCACCGAGCTCTCTACCATTTGATACTTCTGCTTCCTTCAACTTTAAAAAGGCTAATTATAGCAGTATTAACGCTGCTCTGGCTTCGACAAATTGGAATGATCTCCTTGATGGTCATGAGTGGGACGTTGACATGGCGCTTGATTGTTTTTACCGGAAATTATTCGAAATTATTAGCTGCAACGTTCCACTTTCTGGCCCATTCACTGCTAGATTCCCCAGTTGGATGTCAGTCGAATTGAGAGCTGCCATTTCTCAGAAGAAGATTGCCCACCGGATATTTAAGGCTTCAGGAGATGGTCAGGCATTGCATGACTTCAGGAACTTCCGGATAATTTGCAAGCGTCTGACGTTGCGCGATTACAACCGATTTATTTGTGATGTTGAGGAGTCATTGGAGTCTGATCCTGGAGAATTCTGGAGGTTTGCTAACCCTAAGGATTGTGGCTCTGGCTATCCTGATAGTATGTATTATAATAGTATCGATGCCCATGATGGTCCGGATATTGTCAACTTGTTTGCGGAGCGATTTCCTTCGGTTTTTTCGTCAACTTCACTACTTAATGGTTTCGAGGGGCTAACGTTTGATTCTAATACGCTGTCGGACATTTCTCTTGATATTGAAGAGGTAATTCAGGGCCTTGCTGGCCTGAAACCGTCATCTGCGGCCGGATCCGATGGAATCCCGTCTACTTTTTTTGTAAATTGTTCCAATTGTTTAGCTCAACCGATCATGTCTATTATGAATTTATCTCTACGATCCGGTACCTTTCCTACTGCTTGGAAACAAGCTTTTATCATTCCGGTGTATAAGAGGCGTGGTGACAGGAGAAATGTTTGTAATTATCGTCCAATTGCCAAGCTTAATGTGCTTTCTAAACTGTGTGATCATCTGGTGTCCATACGACTTTCTCGTTTCCTTCTTCGTGTCATTAATGTCTCCCAGCATGGTTTTGTTCCGCGCCGTTCAACGGTTACTAATCTTGCGGAGTTCATTGAATTTCTTACGGACGCATTCGATGATGATCGGCAGGTTGATACGATTTACACTGATCTTACCAGTGCGTTTGATTGTGTTAATCATCAACTTCTGGCTGCTAAGTTGTCGTTCTATGGTATTCATGGCCCTCTTCTATCCTGGTGCTCTTCATACCTATCACATAGCACCTATTCTGTTAAGCTCCTGAAATTCATCTCCTCATCTTATTTGGCTACCTCAGGGGTACCGCAGGGCTCGCACCTTGGTCCACTATTTTTCATTATATTTGTGAATGATGCATTTTCTGTTATTCGTTCTTCCTTCATCTCTTTCTATGCTGACGATGCTAAAATTTTTAAACTTATTACATCTAGGAATGATGCCGATGAGTTACAGCTGGATCTGCTGAGGTTTTCTGATTGGTGCTCAGTTAATGGGCTCTTGTTAAATACGGATAAATGTGCAGTCCTTTCATTTTCTCGATGTACAGCGTCGTATATATTCGACTATTTTTGTATGGATCTTGCGATTTGTCGGGTGACGGAGTTTAAAGATCTGGGAGTATTGTTCGATCGGAGTTTATCGTTCACCGCTCATATTAATCAGTCCTGCCGTACGGCATCCCGGTCACTTTTTCTACTGTTTAGGCAATGTCGTGCCTTTAAGCGACCGGCCTCCCTCATTGCTCTTTATAATGGTAACATTCGCTCTCGTCTCACGTATGCGTCAGTTATTTGGGCTCCACGTTTTGACCAGCAATCTAAGTTGCTAGAGACTGTTCAGCATCGTTTTCTGCGTTTTTTAGCTAATAAATTCGGCCCACGTATGGATCCCTTCTCTCATGACTACTCTGCCATTGCAAACTCATTTCATATTTGTACCATCACATCCTTCATTAATTACCAGTCTGCATTTTTCATTTATAAATTATGTCATAATTTCATCGATTCGATTTCACTCTCTAACCGTATCCTCTACATTGTCCCAGCACGCACTCTTCGTGCCCGTAATCATACCTTTTTCATCCGTTCACGTAGGTGGAATCTTAACCATTTATCAATTATTGATCGATCATGCCTCATTATTAATAATTTGTCAACTCCGCTGGATGTTCACTCAGTTTGCTTGGGCGCTTTTAAAAGGCTTGTTCGTGCGAATACTGCGGTGTTTCGCTAGTGTCTTATATCTTTGTCTTTTCTTCTGTCACGTGACACCTTTACTTATTTCTTCCCTTTTACCCACCTATCTTGGCTGCATCTCCCTATCTACATGTTAAATTTTGTATATTATTTTGTATATTATATACATGTTAAATTTTGTTATTATTATTTTTCTTTTTTTATTATTCTTTTATTATTATTATTCTATTATTATTCTTCTATTATTTTTTTTTTTTATATTTCTTATTTTACTAGATCATAGCCTTTAAGATTGATACTTTCGTTCCAATGTCTCCTTTTCCAACAGAGTTGAACTCACCTTAAGTCACCTGAATTGTGACACTCGATTTATCTTAGGTGTGAGTGACCTAATGTTTAGTCCAACTATTCCTTAGATAAAATCGGTTTAAAAAAATAACCGGTGATGGGTCCGTTAAACTAAAAGGGAACGAAATAATGTAATGCGGCAAATAAAATCAAGATCGTTTAACACTAAAAACCTACAGTCTCCGTTGGACCGAAAGACTTGCACACGCATATAGGATTTACATAGAGAAAGAGAGAGAGAGAGAGAGAGAGATAGAATTGAAAATTCTACTGTGAAAACTAACACTCGACGCGAATACATAAACGGTCGCGATTGACAAAATACTTTCGCTAGTATTTTGTCGCGCAGAAAAAGCGAGATGCACCTACCTTGCGGTGCAATTACGGGGAGTAGCCGTAATTGTTAGTCTGCAAAACTACAGGTGCTTACTACTACTTGCTGCGCTGCCTCGGTCACGAAGATCGCTGACAGTTGCACTTAATGCTGCAGTTCACTGCTGTTGTGATTCGCTGCGGCTTCTCTACTGCACCTCGTTACCACTCACGTACGTACAAATCCAGAGAAAAACTAATTTTCAGCCAACGGAAAACTAGCTTTCAGCAACAGGATGAAAATTTTGGCAGTTTCTCGAACAACAACTAAGGCTTCACTGAAAAATTTACCTTTCACGCGCCTCCTCTCTCTCTCTTAGTATCGCAAAACTGTTCTGTGTTATTGTTATGTGGGCAAAACTGTTGGACAGTTATTGCCAATGACTACGCAACGATGCACGCACATTATTACTGTAGCTTTTCGGAACATCAGCCTCAGTGTTTCCATCGGGAAAATTAACAGTTAGTCATGATTTGAGCTGTAAATAAATAAGAGTTCATATAATTTAGCGTCTTATCGATTTTCTGTTCTACTCTTCAACTGCTTGTGGCTTTTTTCTCTTTTTCTTTCGCGAATTCGTAGGTGTTGAAGTAGAGATTAGATTAGAGTAATTGATTAGACTTGCCTACACTCGCTCTCAAATAAAGACTTTTACTTTCATTACATTGATTGTCCTGTGATTTCACCTCCTCTGCAACTCCTGCATATCCGAAAGCATGGTACGTTCACTCCATACAGCACTCAGCGATTGGAGTATCTGCTTCCCTTGACCGCATAAATTAAATAATTAGTCACGTGAAGTAGCGGGCTAAATTTTACGAAAACGTTGATTTTTCCGTTACAATCTCATCATAGGTTGCTATGAAATATGGGCACTCATTTGTCAAGGAAATGAATTGTGGATTTATAAGCTTACATCTCTATCGTTTTGAGAAATTTTTTATAAAGAAAAGATAATTTTAATGAAAAAAATTAGTTTATTGGGTACATACTATAATTAGATAGAGAAATAAATATGAAATTTATAATTTAACAATAGCGTAAAATTTAAATTGCCCCTTGATTATTATTTGCCCTTTGGTTATTATTTTATTTAAAAAATCAACGAACAAAATAAAAGAATGTCAATTATTTTCCATACCTTTTGTAGTTACTAAAATATTTCTTTTTTGAGGACATAGATGAAATGCTCCATATATTATCGGATTCACTACACTGTTACTCATACCGAAAAAGAAAATACCTGTCTGCAAGTTTTCACTAAGCTGTAAACCAAAGAAAAATTTACTACTTTATTGTGAATAATATGTATTATATGTTATCAAATTCTTGAAACCATATTTAAAAAGTAACATAAGTATAGCTAACAACCACAGCCTCGTAAATCAAACTTTCTATAACCGATATGCAAATTGCATATCACTTCTTGGGATAAAATAGTTTGGTTTTTGTTTTTTTTTGATTTTTAAAAATTTTTCGTTTTAAATTATTTTTTAAATTATTCGTAATCACAAAGTTCTAATATTTAGCGGTATTTTATTATGCAATCTTCTGACGAGTAGGCATTTAAATGTTTCAGTTTTTTTCGTAAAATACAAAAAATAAAAACCATAAGCACATATATAAATAAAAAGATTGCATCAAAATTACTCTTTGCATTCATCTTCGCACGTGTGCTTCATTTTGGAACGTGTTTGGTGTATTAAAATACTGATTAGTTCCTACTAATCATTCTGTGATGAGCCAAAAACCGCGGTGTTGCACCTTTAAAAGACTTTATAGATAAGACAGAACAATTCGAGAGTAAGAATGTGATTTCATAAATAAATAAAGTTTTTAAATAGGGAAGATTTGTCGCCAATTATTTTTCACTGCAGTGGTAAGTAATATAGGGCAAGCAAACCTGGGCGAGCTGAACGGATAGAAATCGCTTATAATCAATGACGTGAAATAATGAACTTCAAGTGAGTAGTAAGACTAACTAAATTTTGGCTCGCAAATGCATGTTCTATACCACCTCGTCGAAGCTTACAAAATCATAGCTAAGATATCTGTTCAAATATTCAAATATTCATTGCTATGCGTAAACGCCGAGACATTAAACGGACGCCATATCAAGAGAAGAGTTGAGAGTACTTTTCTGTTAGTCACGATATTAGTGAGACCCAACGCTCGAATTGTTGATATTTAAGCAGATGAAAAAGAGAAAATAAGAAGTTTCTATCCAGGAGGCACGGAAGAATACCTATGGCCTTAAAAAGCAGGCTAGCTGTTACAAAAACCTGAAAGAGCCGAGGAGAAATGAGAGATAGCCAGGATAACATCATCAATGGTAATGGGCTTGAAAGCAAATTCCTCCTGTACCTCAAACTCCATGTCGACTATCTAGCTATCTATATCCTGAAGTGTTGAGACGGAAAATTCAGCGAAGTGGTCGTTTAGCTCATCCAGAATGAAACCATAAAGCTTCTACCCACTTAACTTTGGTAAAATACAGAGTTGTCGCATTTTCTTCCAAATATTTTTCTCTTCATCAAGAGCGCTAAGAAGATAGTTATAAAGAAAGTGAATGTGCTCTTTAAAAATTCGAAACTACAGTGAACATAGATGTACTGGTAAATTTAAACAAGATTTATAACAAGATATGTGACTAGAAATGAGAAATAAAAATGACCGGAGCTCAGCGTTACAAAACACCATGAAAATAAAATTAAACTTGGAAAAATAAGGATTCTTACGGAGTGATATTTACAAACGATCTACTTAATTAAAGTTCCAATGTTATTACAGATATACATTGCTAAATATGTTAAGATAACAACCACGAAGCTTTGTTTTGTCATAACGGCGCCGGTGTGTATTGCAAAAACAAGGATCATTTATCTTATAATTGCAAACTTGTAAATAAGAAAAAAGAACTTATACGTAAATTTTGCAATGCCTTGAAACGAATATTCCTCGTTTTTCGAATCGAATCGCGCGGGCGGTACGGCGTCGGCTCAAGGTTAACGAAGCGGCGTGATCGCGAAAGCGTAAGAGAAAGAGAAGAGAGAGAGAGAGGAACGGGACTCTCGTATACCGGGAATCTTTTCCTGTCCGTACGAGTTGTCACACTTAATTTTAAAACGAACAAAACATTCCATGATTTCGGCGTGGTGGCAGTTAGAGTGGACAAGATAAGGTAATTCGAGCGCAATATCCGCGCGTGACGAACAGTCAAAAAGCCTCTTTCGAATCGTTACGGCGAATTTCCCGTGCGATTTCGCGTATTGAGTTTTGTGTGACAATCTGCTAGTGAGACCGCGGCTCACTATCAAACACCAGAGTGGAACCCCAAGCTCAACAAGTTCGAGATCTAGCGCCATGCAGAGGACGAAGTCTTCACCGAGAGACGTCCATAATAGCGTGTCGCCGTCAGTAGTAGCAGCAAGCGCTAGGTGAGAAAGCTTTGTCAGGTTGCCAGCGGCAGAGCTAAGGTAGCGTTCGACTTGTGTTGTTTGCGAGCGAAAGCGTTCACGCGATTTTGCTTAGCTTTGCACATATTCTCTCTCTTGCACGTGCAGCGATTTCTTGATTGTGTGCGTCCAGCATGGCATTATCGCTATTGTTGAATCGTTTTGTAGCGGCCGCCCGACGGACGAAACGTATCTCTGAGCAGACAATTCAATAGAGCCGAGATGCTCAAATTCAAAAGCTAAAAGCTAGCTAGCCATCTTTTGCCTGACAATTTCCCGAACTCCCTCGCCGAACAAACTCACGAGCATCGAGTATATCGGTCGTGGTCGCATGAATTTTCGCGATCCTTCTCTTTTTAGCACTTGAACATCACCGGCTCCTCGACTTCTCGCGTTGGGAGAGCAATTAACGAGGTAGCAGCTGTATCGAAGAGCATCGCCGAGGCTCGAAGCCGGTTGAGCAGCAGGGCGACAAACCAGCATTTTCCCCGCGAGTGCGACCTTGCACGCGAACGCGGCACCCTTCGGGCACGAGTACATACTTGCGGTCATGTACACCGTGACGTTCCTTCGCCTAAATAGTCACTCCATTACAACCTAAAGACATGTTATTGATGGATAAAAAAATAAGTTAAAGGAAAATCATTGCTAATATTGCCACGTGATAAAATACACAGTTTTATAATGCCCATTTCTAATGGATTACGAAATGTATTGAGAAATATCCAGAAATCGATTATAAACACATATTTCTAAAAATATTATTCAATCAGTAGATTCCTGCAAAGTTTGCGACTCTATTAAACACACAATACGGATCTGCCGAAATATCACTTGCAAACGATTTATCTGGATTTTTGTTTTAATTTTTCAATTAAAAATTTTACATTTTACAAAACAAACATATACTTTAAACTATCACTTGAAATTATCTGATGAAAAGTTTACTTGAAATAGTCATATGTAAATTTCTTTTGAAATCTACGCATGGCAATTTTTTTTTCTAAGTGAACATTTTAGACTACAGATTTTTATGTTCACTTGCAATGTTTATATGGCAGGATTTTTAATAATGACGTTACAGGATCAAGGCAGATATAAATAATTATTTTATTTTTTTATTTTACCAAATATACGAGTAGTCTAGACCAACTAAATGTAATGACGAACAAATTTCCAGAGCCAATTTGATTCACAAAAATGTATTTGTATTCATTTAGGTAAGTCTATACAGTATAACGGGGTTAAATTTCTGCATGCTTGTATCTATGCCTCGATAGAGATATCGCACGTGTACCAGCTAATTCAAATGCTTAACTGAGGAGTATTAGAACTAAAGCGCGAAGAATTCGAAGACGAGCGATATTAACTAATCTAGAAGAGGGGAAGAAAGGGTAACAGTCAACCAACTAAATAACAAAAAAGGGAACGAAAGTAAATTATCGTTTTGATAGCACAGATTCGTTTAGTTCCGCTGTTCTTACAACGCATTTGGCCCGCGCATAAACATTTGCTCAAAATGTGCGACAGTGTTGCGCACCGCCATTTTCTTTGCCGTAGCTCATTCGAATTGTACACTCGCTCGCTTGCTCACTACCGATTTTGTAACGCTCACGCACGGCTTCGTGATGAGAGAGTTATAATATTACGTGTGGCTATTCGACATAATTATGACGCGAAGCTGGCCAGCTTACCTTAGTAATTCGTCGCGTTATTAGGGGGAATAATCTGTTGTGGTTTTCCGCTGCACAGTTCAGGTTGCCACTTTCGCCGTAAACGAGGCCTCCTCGACCGCCCTGCCACTTCCACCGGGTCGATTCGGCAACTTAGTAACCGGCCTACGATGGCGTATCGGCTATCCGGATGTAACGTTGTCAGCAGCGACGGGTCAGTTACAATTGATCAACTTCTATTTTTTTGTTTTCGAGGATATCACGCTCAAACACTGTCTGTTGCCGATGCCAGAGTTCACTCACTGATCCCTCTCTCTTCGCGTGCGTTCCGCCCCATCCCGGACCGAGTTCCCTTTTTCTTTCTTCCGGCCGACAGGTGTTGCCCTCGCGATCGAGACGGTAGCGCGAACTGGACGCTTACCGTCACAACAAAAATATTTATTTAATTAATCACTCATATAGTCATAAATATTAAAAGAATGTAATATATACGTGCTAAATTCAGTTGTCTTCGTAATTTTTCTATTTCTTGGATGTGGGTGTACTTGATAAGAAAATATAAAAGAAAATTTGTATGATAATAGATGAATTTGTCACTACTTTCCACTGTTGTGATCGACAGGGGAACCCTGAAATTTTTAAATGAAAGATCATGGCAGCAGAGACTGTAGGTATAGTTTTAGGTGTAACATGAATTTTTGTGAATTATTATTGAAATTTTAGTAAATATTTGTGCATTATACCAATTGTCCATTAAAAAATACGTCACGCTGAGAAAAAAAATTTGTAAAAATTATAAAGTCATGTATAAAAAAATTAAGCATACGCTAGTTGACCTCAAAAGCATGCTAATTGTAAATATTTTTCTTTATTATCCCTTAAAAAAAATGTCGTAATCTGATGGTAAGTTTCCGAGTTAGAGCAATTTTTTTTCCACGCGACCGATTTGAAGTGGCGCGTTCAGTTTTCGAGCGCATTCCTTCCACCACTGGGCGTTGAGGCCGCGTGGAAGCTGCGTCATAGTTTCCAATGTGTTTTCCATATAAATAAACACATTAATAAGTTTCAAGTGTAGGATATGTAATTTTAACATTGAAAATGTAGGTTAAAAATATTTTCATCTCTTAATCTCAATAATTAAACGCGCTGCAATTTTTTGAATCGTAACTTCGTTTCTAATTAAGCTATAAAATCCATTATAGGCTTAAACTATAATATGAATTATTTTAAATTGAAAAAATTTTATTACAAATTGCTGTGAAAAAATCCGGCAAAGATAAGAGGTTTTATACGTCGTTTAAAATTATTGCCTAATTGACATCACTTTCGCAATAAAAAATAAATAGAAATAACAATGTTTCTTATAGGATTCGGGAACTATAACTCAAAAGGAATCGGCCGAAACGCCGATGAGAATTGAACGATATTTATCAAAGAAAGTTATGGAAATTTGCAATTAAGCCTTTTTTATGTAAATAATATTATAGCTTATTCAATATTCAAAATTTTGAAAAATAAAAATTACACTTACTTCTATGAGAAGACCGCAATATTTGAACTTTTTTGAGTATAATTATCTTTTTTAATGGAAATGAAAAAAATATTGAAAAACATGTCATTTTTTATGGTTTTTTGTTAATAACTTATTATCTTATTTACCGATTTTAACAAGCAACGTCTTATTTGATTTGGATTTTTACTAGAAAAAAAGGGTTTGAATTATTTTTATCTAAATTCATAATCGGTTGAGATATTGTGATAAAACTAATTTTTCAATCAAAACGCATTATTTAAACAATCTTCCACACCTCTGCGATCGAGGATAAATTGACAATCTGTTGAGCATCATGAAATAAAATTGACTCTGAAAATAACATTGCAGAAATCTAGATTGCCTACATTAGAGGCCTACATTAAATAAAAACACTATTTATTTTTCAATATAATCCTCTTTTAACTCTATACATTTATTATAGCGGCGATCAAACTTTTTTATACCCTTTAAAAAGTAATTTTTATCAAACTACACAGAATGTCTATTTGTCCTACCAATTACCTTTTCATTGGATGAAAATCTAGTACGATACCATGTAATACTATGATTTATCAACGCGTAAGGAAAGGAATCGTATTCGATTCTTCTCACTAATCACATCCTAGACCAGTGCCCAAGCACCGTGTCACTAATTATTTTTAAGGGGAAGATGCCGGATTCGCTTCACTACAAATGTGACAATGAGCCTTGTCACGAAGTTGACGGGCTGGGTGTTAGCTCGAGAGGACAGGAATGACAGACACACACAGTAATGATTCTCAATCACCTTCGAATATGTTTATTCCGTTAATTCATACAAAAGTAGAGACGAGGCGGATTAACGCGTCGTTCTTAATGGCCGCGTGTCTTCGTCCGCGCGGAAGAATGTACGGGGTACGGTACAACAACAGCTTTGAAAGACGACGAAGGATGGATTTCGCCGTAATCGCCGTGCTCGCGTACGATCACGAGTACTTCGCCGTAGCGCCACATACTCGCGAATAAAAGAAGAGAAAGGGAGAGAGAGACGATCTGACCTGAAGAAGGCTGCTGGCTGGACTAATACTGCAGTTACTGGTAAGTTAATATCAGACTGGCTCGAAGTCTTCGTGCCTTGGACGATAATTTTTCCTCACCGTTCTACGTCTAGCGTCGTTCTCGTTCTTAGACCTTGTTGCTTGATGATCGGTGATTCTGGGAAACGATAGCTCTTTTCTCTAGCGCTTACACTCCTGACCGTCACGGTCGATACCCTCTGATCGAATGCCGAGCTCGAACTCTCTCTCTCCCCGCTACGCGCGTGACGGCTCGAGCAACGCCGGCGGCTTCGCTCTCGCTAGCGGATCGTCGTAGGTCGCTCGCGCACGTTCTCTCATCTTACGCGTCGTATCTTCTCTCTCTTTTCTCTACACTGCCACTCTTGCTTCCAATTAGTTCGCACTAACGATGCCAGTCACAGGTATTGATCCTGAATAAAAAAGCGTTGCAGGCATCGGTAATGGTTCATGGCGTTATCACGCTCGCCATGGCCACAGCGATCATCTCGCTCCTCTCCACGAGTGTCGAAAGTGAACGTCCTCATAAGGAGAAGGGAAGCAAAGTAATAAAAATAAAAAAAAACATATTCTTTCTCGCTAATACATGTCGAAGCTGCGCGTACTTCTGTTTACATTCAACCTTTATATTGATAAATATATACGCAGACATAGAGACAATCAAACAAACTAAAAAAAACAAAAAGATTTAACAAACAACACACTACTTACAACCACCGTACTACATTTAATTCTTGGAGGGTTTTGCTGCTGAGGGTTTTCCAAGATCGGGGCATCCTCGGCGGAGAGCGGATCGACTATCATCACCTATGACTCTAGTATGGGAGGGGTGCGGCGATGAGTCACCTCCTCATCCCTGCCGTCAGAACTTGATCTCTGGTGTTCTTCGTGAGCGTCGCGTCGCAACTGTACTATGATGGGGTCGTTTCCTGCCACATTTTCTCGCTGAGCGGCGAACGCTAGAGCGGTCTCTATCCGCGCACACTTCTTTTTTTCATCCTAACAGGCCTTCTTTTTCCTAGTAGGCTTCTCGTCAGTTCGGGCCATTCTTCAGTCGAGCGCGCCGGTTCAGCTATCGCCGTCGCTGTCACTATCACCTGCGGTTGATGAGCGTCGGGCAGGCCAGCCAGGTGTATGAACGGGATACTCAAGCTACGAGCCGCTTGTACTCAACTCATAATATAGGCTTGATATGCGATCACCCAGCTGTCGCAATTAACTGTTGCAGTTAAACCAGAGGTACGGTACGATGTCCCGCTCCGGGTCAAACGGCACCTGAGCCAAACTATGCAAGAAGGTGCCCGTTAGCCTGTTGCCCTTCACAGCCATCCACTATCTTGGCTTCTACGGTACAGCAGTACGAGCTGAGAATTGTGGTGGAGAAATCCGCAGCCTCGCTTGCCCGGTACACACAGGTATATACCGTTTGTCCTGGATATATCGCCGGGATCTTCTCTGTGAATTTCGCTAGCTCAGAGGCCTTCGCGGGCGCAGGCACCAAGGCGGGCTCACCAGCACGGCTGAACGGGAGCTCTGAATAAGACAGTCTCTTGTGGACCATCCCATTCCAGCTGGATGCCACATAGAAAGATGCCCAGAGTAGTTATCGCCCTATCAATGGTCCGCACCCAATGTCCCCAATGTCCTCCATGCAACAGAAGTTCCAGTTCCTCACGTCGTTCGGATGTCCGCTTTATGCCCACCTCTCGCTCAGCAACTCTTTCACCCTGATCGGAGTTCAGTGTCCGCCCGCACAGGCCTTTCCGGTCGTATTTCTTCGTCAATATTCCGTTGAGTTTCCTGCAGGACTGACGGCTTCGTTCAACCGCTGCCCGCCACCGAAATAGGCTTGCCTTCGAGGGTCTATTCTTACGTCCGACTCTTGAAATGGAGGCCACTTTTACACCCTTACCCTTCGGAGTCGACGAGTATATCAGGGTGCTGTCTGAGTTATCTTCTCCGGGCACCTCTGGCATGGTCTCCGTTGAGGCAGCTACAAGGCTCGACCTGCTATCCGTTCTTGCTCCTTCCTTGACCGAGCCACGTTGCGAGTTAACGCACTCCTGCGTCAAGCCAGAGGGAGTCGGGGAATAGGTTGCCGTCAATCTCTCTCGTACCACTGCTGTTCGCTCCTCCATTGATTCTTCATCATTCACTGGGGAGAACAAATTTTCCAAGAAGAAGTCCAGACCTCTGTGGCGCCGCCTTCTTCGTCCTGTATCTCTCTGGACCTCCGCAGTTTGACGCCAGAAAGAGAACCGCGGGTTCTGGGCCTGGAGATAAAGGGGCTTCCACTTCAACGGACCAGAAATGTGTTCCGCAGGCTTTACTGGGGCTAAAATCTTAGCTACTTTAGCGGGCTTTTGCGGGATCTCCTGCTCCTCAATAATATCCAAAAGCCGATTCGTAAATCCTTCTTCCGGGATTTTTGCTGGCACATGATATTCCGGCGCAGCTGCCAAATCAGTCGCACAAGTCGAAAGAGTCGCTTCAGGGTTTTCTGTTCGGAGGACAGCCCCAGCGGAAGGATCTATCGAACTCCGCAACAGGAGCTCCTCCAGCTCGACCTCTACTGCTACGCTGTCCACCTTCATTGCGAGGCATTCCTTGATAGTCAGGACTCCACCGGGGGTCATGAACTCCGGCTCAACACGGAAAACACGAAGCACAGAGAACTCGCCCACTATGATGATCAATACGGGTAAAATCAAGGATCTCGAGGATTCATTCTCCTCCTCCCGGGACTCTCCTCAAAAAGCACATTCTAAGGTGTCGCCCTGCGAGGAAGCGTTACTGGGAAAATTCTCGCTCGAGCGCGTCCGCCCAACTACTCGAAGTCAAACCATGTATATTTTTAAGTCCTTAACATGCACCATCGGAATCTGTCACTTGTCCTTCACTTCCAACTTGTATATGACGTCCGAAAGCTTATTAACAATTCCATACGAACCTCCGATCTCAGGCTCCAGGCTGAAATTTCGGTCCACCGCCGCGCTCGACAACGAATGGAACTTACGCCAAACCAAATCCCCTTTGCTAAACGTCGCATATCGGCGTTTTCTATTATATGCATTCTTCTGCCGTTCTTGAGCGCTCTCAATATGCCTACCCACTAAGTCTCGCAGAGCGTTTAACCGTTGTAGTCGATCTTGCAAAATCTCTGGACCCACCTTGATCACGGGCACTCTCCTCTCCACTTATCACCTTAGACTCAATCGCGGGTTACGTCCGAAGTTCAGGAATGCCGGGAAAACCTTTGTAGAGAACTGAGTACAGAACTGAACTTCTGTGATTGTTATCAACAAAAATAGCTATCATAGTCTCCAGTACCCTGTTCACTTGCTTTATCGGGTCGCTTTGTTGATGATAGAGGGAGAGGGGCAGAATACGTGTGTGCTGGAAAACCTTACTCTAATACGGTTTCGCGTTATCACTGACGAAATATTACGGTGTTTCCCATCGCAGCAATATTAACTGCTCGACGCGCGGGTGAGCGACTTTCCGTCCGCCGAACTCAATGGTTTAAGCTCTACCCATTTCGTGAATAGATCCTGAAAATCTACGATATACCGATAACGACTCTTGCTCCTCGGCAATTCCACCATGTCCGTCACGACCACCGCCCAACGACGTTCAACTAAGCACGTTCCCATCAAACCCTGGGGTGCTTGTTGATCGATCTTATACCGCTGGCACTCCTGGCACTGGTCGACGAAATTAATAATCGCCAATAATACTCGCGAGCCACGTGGTCATAAATTTTTTCCTGACCAAAATGCCCTGTGGACAACGCACAATGAGCGCCCTGTAACAATTTTTCTCCAAACTCGAGTGGAACCACGAGTCGCCAACTCTCTTCGCGATTGGTAAC